AGGTCCACTAATTCCCAAGACATTTTCACGCCAAGTGATAACAACGAAAAAAAAACTAAACTAAACTTTAATCTCAGCCAAAAGGCCGAGAAGCGATAAGAGAGAAGAGAAAAGGGCCAACTTGCAGCTGACTGGCGAAACCCAAAGAGCTATCCGATGGCGAACAAGTTGCTTTTCACTCTTCTACGATATGACTTGTCCAAGAGTTATTGGAAATTTGAAGGATCACCACAACACCCAAGGGATAGCGTTGATTTGTGGGAAGGTCGAAGAAGCAAATTCATAGCACCCCTAACGGGATAGCGAATTATGTGATCTGAGGGTAACAACAAAGACAAGTCGATATAACAGCAACGAATGATCGTAGTTTCCACTATGAGGGTACAGCGAGCAGTGATTTCAAAGAGAAGATAGGTAAAGCAGCTGCGTGAGGCTCTTGTCAGTTTTACGGTCATAGGGTTGAATGAACATAAGGCTCAGCATTCAAAAGTTTGGATGTTCAAATAAAAGGAATGGATTAATGCGAAGGGAATTACCCCATCTGTTCTCGCAGGCTATCGTTTCCCTCCCCCCCCTATCTTTTAGGCAAGTGTCGGAACCTGCGACTAGCCGCTAGCGAATTACGCGACTCGCGAGCGATTTAAACAGTTGAAGTAATGTGCCAGCGATTGTTCCCTATTCCTTCCCTGTTCCTTCTCATAGATCCGCAATTACCCTAGAAACCCATTTGATTTCATTATCTAGAAAGAGTACTAAATAGAACAGGGAACAGAGATGTGTTGGAAAGCCACTAGTGAAAGCATTGATTGACAGGCTTTCTATTTGCCTATTTGTTATTCAACTAGGGTGTGGCGACTATTCGCGGCGTGCTGCGACGTGTCATTAGGCACGGTGATGTTGACTCCTGACTGCTTTTTGATATTTCTTTGAAGCTAGCAGAGCGGGCGGAGGCAAGAGAGTGCATGCAATGAACTGTTCCTTGTTGCGGCCACGTCAAGCGACGCTTCGAAAAATCGGGTAAAGCGGGAAACAGAGAGAGTGGGAACGATCTATACATAGAATACAATGCGGTGGAAGAAGGTTTTGCCAAAGGTGGAAGGGCCAAAAAGAGCCTCCAGCAAAGGCACTCAGAGAGATAAGTGGAAGCGTTCCCATCGACACATTTTGATAGACGTACGGCGGAAATTTGAAAGCGTATTCTTAGTTTCTCAATGTTTATTGAAACGACACAGTTTTGTTCTCGTTTTTTTCAACCGTGAATTGTCGATCGAGAGCCAGTGATTTGCGGCGAAATAGAAATATTTTCTCGTGGACAACTCTTTAAGAAACAGCACTCTCTGAATTGAATCATTCAATTGATCTTACTGTTCAGTTCGCACGTTAGCGATGAAGTCGTACTCTCGTCCCTTTGGATAGTACATATCCTTCTTGGCAACGACTCCACCCTCATAATAAGAACCGGCTGTGACGAGGTCTGTGCCAACATAGATCTTATTCGGTACTTTGATTGTACAGCACCTCAGTAGGACGCTGTAATAGTGTACGATTAATTTTGCAGAAGAAATAGAGTCATACCTGGCGCCATACCTTTGCCCATTTGGTGCCCAACGCATTCCGGAAAAGACATCCGTATCGGC